CGAAAAATGATGTTAACGAACTGTACCCAGAAGATGATGGCAAAAAATTGAACACGGAAAATGATGTTAACGAACTGAACCCAGAGGATGATGACAAAAAATTGAACACGAAAAATGATGTTAACGAACTGTACCCAGAAGATGATGGCAAAAAATTGAACACGGAAAATGATGTTAACGAACTGTACCCAGAAGATGATGGCAAAAAATTGAACATGGGAAATGATGTTAACGAACCAAAGGTGGGAAACGACGATAAAGAATTGAACATGGGAAATGATGTTAACGAACTGAACCCAGAGGATGATACTAAAGAATTGAACACGGAAAATGTTAACGAATTGAAAATGGGAGACAGGGATGAAGAGTTGAACGTGGGAAATGATGCTAACGAACTGAACCCGGAAGACGATGACAAAGAATTCAACACGGGGAGTGATGTTGGTAAACTGAACCCAGAAGGTTGTGATGTCAATGGATCGAACCCGGGAGGTGGTGATGTTGATGGATTACACCCGGGAGATGATGTCAACGAACCAAGCACTGAGAATATTGATGAAGAATTGAACGCAATGAATGGTACTCACGAACTAAATAATGAACGTGATACTCGAGAACTGAGCACAGAAGGTAACGTTCATAGATTAGATATGGAAAATATTAAAGAGGACAACGATAACGATTACGAAATTATTTCTCGAGTTTCATTATCCCCATCAGAAGACAAAGACCAAGGGACATTATTGATAACAGATTCATATAAAGAAAACGAAGAATTGGAAGAGGATATGATAGAAATTAAGAAAGAGGAGTTCCTCGAGGATATTATATCAGTGCCGTCGATTTCGACGACGGTGCCTGAAGTTCACACCGAGGATAGTCAGGAGTCATCAATTTCAATATCTTCTGTTGACGTCTATTCAAACGATAATGATAACGCTACCATTAAAGATAATAATCCCGATAAAATTATTACCATAGCTTCCTGATTAACAAGTGATAGAAAATAATCCATTAAGAAACCATTCAATATTTAATAATCATAACTCATTTCATCGCAACTTATATATTATAATAAAACATGTATAATAAATAACTTTAACACATACATAATCTGTTGTGCT